AGGGCCCCTGACCACCAGCGCCGCCGTCAACTACGACTTCGATGAGGAGTATTTCAGCAACACCAGCGAGCTGGCCAAGGACTTCATCCGCCGCCTGCTTGTCAAGGACCCCAAGTGAGAGACAGGGAGTGGAGCTGGGGGTTCCCCTGGGAGAGGAGATGGTCCCTCCTGCCCAACTAGGGTTTAGCTCTGAGCCCACCCACTGCCCCCCCCCGGCCGTTTTTCCTGAAAATGTTTATAAATCCCATTTCCCCCCCGTTTCCTTCCCGCTGCGTGTAGGATTTGGTGTTATGAAACATCTGGAAACCAAAGTCTCTCCCTTGCATCAGGCATGGGATGAATTCTGGGATCACCCTGAGGGTGCAGCTGCTCAGCTGAAAAGGAAGGAATGGGGTTTGGAAGGGGTCAAGGGCTGACCTGAGCACCCAGGACCCTGGGCTGGGGTGGGAGCAGCGGTGCTGTGTGATCTGACATCAGTCGGGAGGTTCCTGTGGGATCTTCTCCGTGTATTTCCTCGTGGGACGCTGGCTGAGGACATGGGAGCTGGATGTGGCCCTTGTCTGGGGTGGCCCCTGAGTACAGTGGGTTTGGGCTCATCTGTGCCCCAAGGGTGGTAGGATCCGAGCTGCTCTTCCAGAAGTTTAAGAGGAAAAGAGGCAGCAAAGCCCCTACCCCTCGCTCACAGCCTTGCTGTCGTTGTAGGAAGCGGATGACCATCGCTCAAAGCCTGGAACACCCTTGGATTAAGGTGAGAAGTTAAAGAATTGGTACCTTTTGGGTGTCAAACATCCAAGAAGTCAAGGGTGGGTGTTGATACACCAACAGCTCTCCACTGCTCTTCCAGCGCCAGGTTGGGGCTGGTTTGGTGCCACTGGTGTCACCACGAGTGGGTGCCAAGGCTGGCTGGCTCCTGCTCTCCGGGCTGTGCCCCACACCTGTGTCTGTCCCTCTCTGCAGGTGATCAAGAGGAGGAACGTCCGCAATGAAGACAACTCCAAGAAGCCCGAGCGCCGCCGGCTGAAGACCACGCGCCTGAAGGAGTACACCATCAAATCCCACTCCAGCATGCCACCAAACAACACGTACATCAACTTCGAGCGCTTCTCCAAGGTCATGGAGGAGGTGGCTGCAGCTGAGGAAAGCCTCCGAGAGCTGGAGAGGAACAAGAAGTCCTTCCAGGAGGACATTGAGGCCCTGCTGTCCATCTATGAGGAGAAGGAGTCATGGTACAAGGAGGAGAATGAGAGCATCAGCCAGGACCTCCGCCAGATCCGTCAGGAGCTGCAGAAGACGGAGACCCTGAAGAAACAGGCACAGGAGGAGACCAAGAGCGTGGTGCAGGTGGCCAACGGCCTCAAGAGGCGTTACCGAAAGCTGGAGAACCACTACGAGGCGTTGGCCAAACAAGTGGCCTCAGAGATGAAGTTTGTGCAGGAGCTGGTGTGTTCCATTGAGCGGGAGAAGCTGCAGAGCGGCGAGGGAGACGGCAGCATCCGTTAGCTGGGCCGGGGCCGGGGCCGGCTGCCCCGGGGCTGAGCTTGGGACGTTCTTCCCGGGTTCCCCGCGCTGACGTGCAGCGACTGGCAGCGCCGAAGGGACCTCGATGGCTCTGCCCCTTGCTCACCTGAGGAGCTGCTCCACCGACAGCCTTCGGTAAATGTCCCCGGCCTCTGCTGGGCTCGTGGTGATGTGCCGGGGGGCCTTGTGCCTCCATGGGGACCCCCCACCTCGGGCCTCAGGGGGCTTCCCTTGTGCTCACCTGGGTTTTGGTTTCCTGCGAGCGGCTCTTGCTTGGCTTGCCCCTTCGTCTGCTCC